GATATGATGTTTATACTAGGCAAAGGTGGCCTTGTCTAGATTCTCTCCCTTCTGCTCTCCAAATCACCCGGAATTTCTGTGATACCAAGTCTGCTGAAGATGTGCCTGAGGCTAGGTTTGTGCAAAAGAGTGAAATGAAGCCTGAGCACAAGGTACTTTTTAAGTTTGTGAACAAGTGTTTGCTGCCCAGACAGGAGAGAAGGCACACTGCAAATTATATGGACCTGGTCCTTCTGGAGTGTCTTGTGAGAGGAAAGCATATTAATTGGCCTGCTTTCATTGTCAAGCTGCTGGATAGAGTCATCAATTGCTCTAAGGCCCATGCCACACCTTATGGGTTTATACTGACAACTGTCTTGGCCAAGTTAGATGTGCCATTGAAAAAGTGGGAGATGGCCTCCAGCAAAGAGCACTTTGGAATCAAAGCTCTCCGGGCTTGTGATTATCTGCTAAGTGTAACCCCAGTTGAACTTGGTACATCCGTGAAGACTCCTGTGAACAGCAAAGTTAGGGCATTGGTTCTAGAATGTGGCACAAAAGATGCAGAAATTGCTAGGCTCCAGGCTCACATTGCTGAACTAGAAAGTGAAAGAAATGGTCTCAAAGATGAGCAAGCAAAGGAAAAAGAAAAGAGTGAAGGGATGCTCCAAACAATACTCAATCTCCTTCAATCCCAACCCTCTAGTTCCTCCAAGCCCTAGAACCAGTTTAGAACCCCCTCAGTGACCCAGATTCGGGACTTTTATTTTTTTTGCTCATGGTTGGATGTTTGTCTTTCTTTTCGTGGTCTGTTATGTGAAAACACCCCCTAATCAATGAAAATATGCTTTGTTTTCTCTTGTTCTATGAAACTTCTGATCTTAATAGTTAAATTTTTGTGAAGTTGATTATTGATTAACTATATCATGTTTTCACTTGTAGTTGCCCCAGTGGCCATGAGTATTAATTAACATCTGGGATTCATATAATATGCAACTTTTCGATGATGCCAAAAGGGGGAAGATATATTGTGTTTTACTTTGTATTCTGAAATAAAGTGATATTTATAACCTGATTAAACCTGGTTCTTAATGATAAGTTAAATTAGAGTGTGAAAATTAAGCTGAGTTCCACAGGGTCTCTGATCAATAAAAGCACAGAGTTTGTCATCATCAAAAAGGGGGAATTTGTTGGCCCAAATTCAAATGAAGTTTTGAAGATTGACAAAATGAACTCAACCATGAACCAGGTCCATCATGTGAGACATACACAGTGTTGATATATTTATTCATGTGACAGACCTGTCAAGATAAGTCTCAAGGATCAGCAACAATCAGTAACAATATCTTCAGAGTTGATCGAAAAGGTTGCATACGATAAGGAGTTGAAGTCTCCTTATGATAAGAGAACTACATCTGGATCAAGGATAAAGGATTGGAGTTTGAAGTGTACTAGGACTCGAATTTGATGAAGGATCAGCAATTCGAGTTTTAATCAAACTCTGATTACTAACTCTATAAATAATAAAAATTGTTCTCTTTTACAGGGGATTTGCACATATGCAGAAGTTAAACTAAATTGAGAGCAAAAGAGCTAGGCGAATTTTGCAAGCAATTTATGTGTGATTCAAGTGTGCAAATCTAAAGCTACATGAACCAAGAGTGAAGAACCAATTCCATTGTGTTTTTCTTTATTTCTAGTTCAATTGTAGTAGGTGTTTCATATTGTACCTTTCAGCTTTATCTAGAAGCAATTGTAATAGGTATTTTGAGTATTCAAGTTAGAGTTAACTTGAAGGTGTCGCAACAGTTGAGGTTGTGTGCTACACTGGGATTAGAGTTTAATCCTTAGGTTTACAAGAGTTTGTAAATGTTGTTTTTGGCTCAGTGATTTTAGTGGAAGTTTAGGAAAATCCTACTGAGTAGTAGGTCGTGGTTTTTTCACCTTTTGAGCCAGGTATTTTCCACGTAAAAATCTATGTGTTCTTTATTTTATGCACTCTTAATTCCGCAAACAGTTATAGTAAGTATATCTAGAAGAACCAGGTTCTTCTAGTGCGAAAATTAGGTACCACATAAATCACCCCCCTCTTGTGTGGTATTGACGTTTAGAACATCAGGGAGAGTTAGGTCGGACAAATACCGTAGTAGCAGTAGAATTCCTCCGCCAACGGAGGAAGAGGGAGAGAGTAACCCACTTGGAACGGGTACGCGTAAAACACGCAATATCCAGGACAATGAACTTGGATCACGTCGTTCCCAGCTGGGACCAGGTCGTTGTGAGTGGGAATGTTGTATTTGGTCTTGAGTACGGCAAGATGGCTGCTTCCATCTCGGATCTCACAGGCTTTGGTTCGTCCGCAGGTGACTTCAAAAAGTCCGACCTGGAGCTTGGATTACGAGGAATGACTCCTTCCATAGTAGGGAAGCTTTCATCCTCCACAACAATGGCCTCCCCTTCATCAGAAGGCATGGCCACTGACAACGGAACTGGGTCTGAGGTCACCTCAGTGTTAGAAGATGCACTAGCCATCTTTTGCTAATGTGTATACGATGGAACTGAAGGCATGGAAGAAGTGGTGACGGTGGGAGTTGCTGAAAATAGGAACGCAGGAAGAAGAAGAAGAGACAAGATGTAGGTTCGAAAGATCAGAGAGTGTAAAGGTTTCTCCAAAGGGGTTTCCCCCCTTTTATTTATAGAGAACAACGATGCTCAAATCGATGCAAATAATCGTCAAAAGCACTGGAATCGAAATGACAGGGACACAAGGAACGATGCAACGCATCGAGAAGATGCATAATGATGACGCGTGAGGCTGTGATGTCACACTGAACCAACGTCATCGAGAGCAGCTCTCAGAGTGACACGTCACCATCTCGGTTGCGATTACCATTACTCAACCTCCCCGTCCGAATTTCTCAAGAACTGCAATTAATGAAGTCCGCTCATTGAGGTCGACCAAAAGACGACCTCGATAAGCGGAGGGACTAACTGTATGGGTCAAAATCTGACTGAGGAAATTCGGTACGAAGAGGTGATCAAACGTGAGGATTGTAACTCGTCACGGGGGGTTGGTCGAGGTCCATCAGTGGTTAACAAGAATGAGCCTGAGTGGCCTATTAGGGCCGAGGTCGAGTGGTAGGAATAGAAGTAACGGCTAGTATGACTTTAGAACTTTCAAAGGGAATATTCCATTGAATATTCCTTCTGTTGTACTTTTTGGGGTTCTTTGGGAATATCCCATATAAATAGCAGGAGTAATAAGGCAAAAGGCATGCAATATTCTATATGATAAGAACTCTTATGAAAAGTTGACTCTCAAGAGAAATACAAATATTGCCTTTCCATAAAGATTCGATTTGTTGTTTATCCCACATTCCCGCATCAGACCCGAGAAAGCCCCCTATATTCTCATATTCATTTGTCTTACATCATTGTCAGAGAGAAGAATCATCCACCTCATTCGATGTTTGGGTGAATCATTCTCTCTATTTACATTTATTGCCATTTAAAATATTTATTGCTTATCATTATTCTCCCACTCGTTCATAACAGTATCTTTTAATACCCGCTGTATTAAATTGACAAAACGCATTTCCACGTTATCTGTGCAAACACGTTTTTGATCTAGGATTTATTTTGTTTAATTAGGATTTACCCATTATCTTCTTATTTAATTAGTTTAACAAAAAGGTGTCATACATTTTGGTCAAACACATATAAGTGCACCAGATATTGGAAAAGGTGATTCAAAATGACACCACCGATGCCAGTATTATTATTATTATTATTATTATTATTATTATTATTATTATTATTATTATTATTATTATTAAACTATTACATTCACAAAGAACTGAAATAGTAATACCGATAGGCCGGTCTTTAACAATATTTTTAAAATAAAGAGATCAACAACTTGACATATCAACTATATTAGGTCTTCCATTTAATCTTTTTAAACCTGTACTTTGTCTGCCAATGGCTTGGCTGACGGCTGTCACACTATAGTCATTACTTAAACCAATGAACTGACCAACAGTTTATAACTTAGATCTAACTTAGATTTGGACGCGCATATATTTTAGTACTCATAGTTTTTTTAGATAGATATCTTATTCAACTTGGCTTTATCTCATAGTAGTAAAGTTCTACTTAAAAAATTAGCGACCAATTGCTTTATAGAGTATATGTCAAAAAAGATGTATACTTATTTAATGGTTTTATCTCTATCCTTTTAGAGAACTACTCTAATTTATGGTCAATGTACTAAAACCCATCAAAATCATGATTTGGCATAATTATCCCAAGGAAGGAATCTTGATTTAGGGAACAAATCAAAAGATAAACTTTCTTTTCCTGACTTTATCACTTGCCGTAATGTTTTATATATATATATATATATATATATATATATATATATATATATATACACACACGTCTCATGACCTTGCCACAAGTTGGGGGTGATTAAAGTCTAGCCAATCTTTTCATCCTTTGAGGTCTCGTGAATTTAAGATAATGTTTCCTTTTTGCATCCGCTGAAAGATGTCTTTCATTTTGCATTAGCCACTAATACAAACTTGGAACATTAAACAAAATGATGATAATTAAGATTCCACATAATTGAGCCTCTCTCAAGTCATAACCAGTTAGACTTCCAATATCAAGTTTTAAGTTACATAAGAAAAAGATCTTCCTCTTCCTAGGTCAGCAAAACAGCTAAAACCTGATACTGTATAGCCGCTGTAAAAATAATAGCCGAAAAAATATATAAAATTTGTATATTTTTTGTATATATATATGTTATGTATGTTATATACAAAAATTATACAGATTTTATACACTTTTTGGGCTACTAAATATAAATAATTTCTTGCGTAGACTAAAAGTGATAATACCCCAAAAACCTTTGCACAAGAGGCCCAATACTTTTCTCATTGCAAGTAGCTTCACTTCTTAGACTTTAGCGCGGAAGTAAAATGTTACCGGAGAATGGTTATTTCTGCATTTGTTCCAGGTAAACAGAATAAAGTTCCACAAAATTGTGTATTCAATGCATTTCAAAGCCAAAAACAATTACAGAGACAAGCTACAGTTTCACTGTCATTCCCACACCGCAATGTTTCGTCCTAATTCTACTATGAATAACAAATCAAATAATTTTTACACATTCATACTTATCACTGCTATACAGCATCTACAATGCATGTGGATCATAAAGTGGACAAAAAGAGGAACAAGATGTGGTTGATGTTTGTGGGAGGACTAGAAATGGCCATGACATCCTTGTTTTTGCCGATCATGTAAGCTTCCCTTGTGTCGTACATAGGAGAACCTTTCTGCCCGTGGAATCTTTTTGCAGCCCCCAGAACAGTTGGAGCATTATTCTGAAACGGCCCTTGCCAGCTTTGGCTCGATTATCTTATGTCAAACTTGACTTCTTTTGACGATCAACTCCAAAGCATTTTCATTTTACTACAAAGTTAGTTCACTAACACGTCGCCTTCTAACATCCGAAGTACCTACATGTGCAACGAGAACAACAGAGTGTACATAAGACTCATATTATAGTAATTCTGGGGTGCTGCTAACATGATGTTAAGTTTAACACTGAAAGTAACATGAGCTCCGCCCATTGAAAATATACAGTGACGGCTTTAACCTAAACTCCTGCTACTGTCAAACAATAGGACACGACAACAACAACAGACCCAGCGTAATCCCACAAGTGGGGTCTAGACAAACAATAGGAGATTCTTGACTCTTGATTTATAATAACTTCACTCAATAATGATCTTTTACAGCTACCACTCATGAAGAATCTATTAACACTAGATCCTCCCTGTTTTCTTCTTTCTTTCTTCTTTTTGTTGTTTCTTTTTCCTTTTTTTTTTTTTTTTGGGGGGGGGTGGGGGGGGGAAGGTAAGAAG